TCACTTTGAACCGAGGAGAGGACCATGTCCTTTAATTTATGCAGCTTCTAGATAGCAGCTTTGAGAAAAAATTGTTTTTCCTCCTGCATTGCTTTTTCATGTGAAAACAATCTTTATCAAACTGTTTAGGTATTGCTGAGAAAATTACTCATTCTGTAAATATGTATTAGCTACTGTCACAGTAGGCAGAGAATATGAGAACCTCATATTGGATCTCTTTAAGATAAAAAGATATTTAGTAATTAAGGTAGTTGGTAATTGTTTCAAAGTGATATATTATTTTAGAAATCAATTTTTACTGTTCTCTACTTCCATTTTATTATTTTGTCTTCAGAAAGGGGTTAGATTGGTCTGTAATAAAGTAAAATGTTTTGAAGTGGTGGCACTAGTGGCAAGCCACCTTCGGTGAACTCTGCATGTATTCCCTGTTGCAGAAGTGAACAAAGGCATATATTAGCCTGAGATTATAGGATTTTATAGTTTAGTTCTTTAAGCAGGGAATATTTTTTTAGTATCTTTCAACACCACGAATATGGACTATGTTCTTCTGGCCATTACTTGGAAACTAATCTTGGATAACCATAATATTCAGCAACATTAATGTACAGATACTTTGGTGTCTTACTGTAAATGACGCTATAAATGTTGTGTAGTACATTGGTATTATATGTTTGTCTTAAGCACAGTGTAGAAAAATATCACTTTTTAAATAAATCCTGAAAGATAGTATCATTTGAGACATCTGTAGAATATTTTATGCTGACGTATGAGCTTTCAGTTTGGTTTATTGGAATAGTGAATATGTTTTATGTATACATTTGGTTTTTCTACATTCAGTTTTTATAGCCTTTTAAACATATATACTTAGTCTCAAGTATCACCACATAAATTATTCATTAATAGTAAAGGGAAAATAGTAACTTTAAATTGGAGAAACTTGGTGGATCACTTTAACGAAGTGATCAAAATTAGCATCACCAGTATTGAGACAAACTGGCATCATGTATTTCTTAATATGATACAATGAGATGGACACAACTTCGCTTCTGTGTTGTTCTTGCCAAAAATGCATAAGCTGAATCTAAATATGATAAAACATCAGACAAACCCAAATTTGGGAACATTCTACAAAGTAACTGACCTGTACTCTTAAACGTCAAGGTTAAGAAAGGCAATGATCAAGGAATGTTGTAGATTAAAGGAGACTGAAGAGACATCATAATTATATGTAACGTGTGAACCTGGATTGAATCCAGGACAGAAAGAAAAAAAGCTGTAAAGTACATTATTGGGACAATTGATAGAATTTGAAGATAGACCCTGGATTGTTAACTTTACTGATTTTGATAATTGTGCTGTGATTGTGGAAGAGAATGTTTATTTTATTAGGAAATATACATGAAATGTTTAGGGATAATAAGGCATGACATCTCCAGTTTATTCTTGGATGTGGAAAAAAAAGTGCATGCATGCATGCGCATGTATATGTAGAGAGATAATGATAAAGCAGTTGGGGCAAAATATAAACATATGATAAATCTGGGTAAAGGTTATGTGGGATTTCCTTGTGCTGTTATTGTAACTTTTCTGTAAGTTTGAAATTATATCATAATAAAAAATTACAAAAGTATAATTGAGTTGGTCTTACAATCTTTGACCCAGTTCACCATCGTAATTAGTTTCATTTACTTTTCTTTTCTTTTTTTTTTTTTTTTTTTTTTTTCCGTGTCTGGCAACGGATCGCAACCCTCAGTGTCGCCCCCGTACCGGACTAGGACCGGCAACGGGATCGCAACCCTCGGTGTTGCCCCCGCGCCTCGCTCAGCCAGTGAGCGGGAACCGGTCTGCATGTGGGATCCGAACCCTCGGGCGGGAGCGCCGCCGCGCTTCCCAAGCGGCGCACTAGCGCAGTGCGCCACCGGGCCGGCCCCTCATTTACTTTTCTATGCTCTTTTGTAGAATAGCTTTTAAACCAAAATGCTTAATTTATGCCTTCCAATTCTGGGATCCTTCAGATTACAGGATAGCCTGCATTAGGCTTAAAAGCAGCTGTGTTTTTTTGTTTGTTTGTTTTTGTTTTTTCCGTGTCCGGCAACGGATCGCAACCCTCAGTGTCGCCCCCGTACCGGACCGGGACCGGCAACGGGATCGCAACCCTCGGTGTTGCCCCCGCGCCTCGCCCAGCCAGTGAGCGGGAACCGGTCTGTATGCGGGATCCGAACCCTCGGCGGGAGCGCAGCCGCGCTTCCCAAGCGGCGCACTAGTGCAGTGCGGCGCACTAGTGCAGTGCGCCACCGGGCCGGCCCGCAGCTGTGTTTTAACATCAGAGCGAGATCAAGGAAAACTTCAGAGTTCAGGCAGTTCACTAGGAAAACTGAATCATTTCTGCCTTAATAGTGTGGTTTTATAATTTTTTTTTAAGAACCATATTTTATTTTATTTTAGTCTTTAAAGATGACCAGTAAGGGGATCTTAACCTTTGATTTGGTGTTGTCAGCACCACACTCACCCAGTGAGCTAACCGGCCATCCCTATATGGGATCCGAACTCATGGCCTTGGATTATCAGCACCACACTCGCCCAAGTGAGCCACTGGCCATCTCTATATGGGATCCGAATCTGTGGCCTTGGATTATCAGCACCACACTCGCCTGAGTGAGCCACAGGCCAGCCCATAAGAACTATATTTTAAAAATATAAGACAGCCATATTCAAACAAAGACGTTTTAAAAAACTGCTGCTAAATAAGCATTTTTTTATTTTTTTCATTTAAAAATTTTTTTACGTGAGTAAAAACATGTTCTTTTTATTATTATTTAAATCTCTTTAAGAGAAACTGGCTGCTTAAACAAAAATAACAATGTAATTGAGTTTATAACATGTAAAAAGGTATGACAATAGGCACAAAGACTAGGAGGAGAGAAATGACACTGTTATTGTTTCTTATACTGTACATGAAGTAGTCTGTGATGAATTAAGGTAATGTACTATGAACCCTAAAAATAAAAATAAAATAACAAAGAATTATGTGTTTTTTGTTTGTTTGTTTTTGTTTTTTTTCCTTTTTTTGTCTTTTTTTCGTGACCGGTAACAGGATCGCAACCCTCGGTGTTGCGCCCGTACCACGACTGGCAACGGGATCGCAACCCTCGGTGTCGCACCCGCACCGCACTCAACCAGTGAGCAGACCGGTCTCTATATGGGATCCGAACCCTCGGTGGGAGTGCCACCGCGCTCCCAAGCGCCGCACTCTACCGAGTGTGCCACAGGGCCAGCCCAAGAGTTATGTTTTTATACAAAATTTTAATATTTTTATACAAAATAACAGAGTTATAGCTAAAAAGAGATAAAAAGAAATCCTAAAAAATACCCAAATAATCCAAAAAAGCATAAAAAAAATATAGTAACGAAGTACAGAGGGGACAAATAGGAAAAAAAATAGCAAAATGATAGGCTTAAACCTAACCATATCATTAGCCACATTAAATATAAATCAAATAAGCATTTTTTAAAGTATACTTTTCCCCATATGCTTTATTGCTACAAATTAGAGAATAACTCTAATTATTGCCTGGCTTATGAAGCAGTTGGAAGTTATGTTTGTTTTATTATTTGTGGTTCAAACATAAAATTTTTAGTGTATGTGAAGCTTATCTAAGTACTACTTTTCTTTTATAAATATTTTTTGACTTTGACGGTATTATTTGCCTATTGTAACCCCCCCCCTAAAAAAAAACCCCAATAACAAACTGGAGAACTATAAAGAAAAAAAATTACCCATAATTATTCATTCCAGATGTAACTGATGTTAAGAGCATTTCCTTTCTGTAATTTCAAAAGATGTAATTTGAAAGGCATTATATTTTTATACAATTTGACCATACTTCCTTCACATAACATGTCATGTACATCTTCCCACATCATTTAAAATTCTGAAACTATTATTTTTAAACTTTTAATAATATACCATCATATGATACATCATGATTTTTTACTTTTTCTGAGATATTAATTTTGAAGGCAAGTATATTGATTACAAAATATGGAAGATACAGGAGAGTGAGTATTTTAACTAATGTAATTTACAAGCGGAAGTAATTGGACTTCTGTTTTTCTTGGTCCTTAGAGCTCTGTTATCTTTTGGGAAGCATTGTTTGAAAGACAGGCTTTTAAGAGTCACATTACCAATATTTGTTATAGTAAAGAATAAACCTGGAAGTGTGCTTTTTTTGTATGAAAAAAGATCCTTTGTTAGTTAACCCTTAAATGTTTGGAATTTTATTTCTAATATATATGTTGTCTACAGATATTTTTTCAAATTAAAAAAATTAAATTTAAGGTTCCCACTTGGCAGATATATTCATTTAGAGATTTTGATATCATATAGTTTACTCCAAAAGTATATAAGAGTAATCATACTGAAAATTTAAATTTTTATATATTCTGTTTTTAGGATGAGTAGCAGATTAAGGACCATAAGCATTGCTTTTAAGGTTAGGAATTACGACAGGATATTCCTGGTTACAAAAGACCGAAAGTGATCCTTTAGGTCAACTGTTGAAATTACTAATTAACTCACATTAAAATGCTGTTATTGGTCATAGAATTATTTAACTATTTGAGCAGAAAACACATGAATAGTTGATATTTTCTTTCCTTGAGTCTTTTTTTTTTCTGACCTTGTATAATTTATTTTTAGCAGGAAAGTCCAGATAATATCTTTGAGTCTTTTTGTACTTCTGTAGTTATAAAGGATTCCTTCCTAACAAAACAGATGCTTTAAGTGTATGTGTAAGTAATAGATTCATTAGTGGTTGTGTATGAATAAATTATGCCTTCTCTGGTGCTATAAGGTCATCCTGATGTAGGTATGTAGTGGTATCTCAAAATATATAAATGAATACCTGAAATACTTATATGGTGCATTCATCTGGAAGGAAACTACTAGCAGGCCCACTCAAAGGATTGTTAACATCTCTTATAATTTCATGTTTTGGCAGGTAAACCTAGCCTTTAAACAACCTGGAAAGAGGCTAGAGCACCAAGGAATTAGAATTGAATTTGTAGGTCAAATTGGTGAGTGTAAAAATAGTATTACTTCTTTTTCTTTGATAACTGAATTTAAAGAGGGTTGGATTTGGCACTTAAATTATTGAATTAGAGCTTTGTTTTGTAGAAGGAAGGAATTGATTTTACATAATAAAATAACTTATTTTCTAAACATATTAAATCATGTTTCTTTTAATTGTATTACATGATATTTAACTCATCCTGCCTTTATTTGTTATTGGACTTCATTACTAAAAATGAAAGGAGTTATGCAAATTTACCAGCCTTGAAAAATAATTCAAGTATATTAGTTGACTCACTGAAATTTCCATCTGCCTGCATTTTTCACCAGCCTTGCTCACAATTAGCAGCCTCACCTTCATCCTCCATTTCCTAGTTACCCATGCCATTTGACCTAGTGTGTGCCTGTAGCTACACTCACCTGTCAACAGACAGTTCCGTGGGAAGTGGAAAGGTGTGATTTATTCTGGGCTTAGATAAACTTGTGTACATTTCCCTACGTGTATTTTAGAGACATTCTTGATTTAGTAGGGAATTAAATTGTATATAAATCTTTTGGTCCTGTAGATTCAGGAAAGAGAAAAGAAAGTATGACTTTATATACTGTCTACATAGCTAGGTTTTAAATCTAGCTTTCTAAGTACATTCTTAAAGTATCAAAATGGGAATGGGTAGATATTTGTTTATGTATCTATTCTGAATGAGTTTGTACTTGAGGGGCAAGTTATAGTAATTACCTGTTAAGTTGGTAACATGTTTGCCTAACTGAAGCAAAACAGCAAAACAGAATTTTTGCCTTGTCTGGAGGAAGTTCAAATAATTGCTAGTAATGTGTCAAACAGCTTCATGTCAGGACAGCTCTAACTACATCAAATGAATGAACTTATTTTTAATAGAAATTTTCATTGTATTATGCTACTTGAATTTTTTTATGCCTAAGTGGAGCATAAGAAGAATGATGGAATTCAGATTATAGCTCTAGGTTATTAGACACAAATCCAACTAATCCTTTTGATAAAAATTATTTGCTTTGGAGTTTGACTTTTATTGAAATGGATATTAAATATAATTGGTCTTTTTGCTTTTTAAAATTTCTTAGAACTTTTCAATGACAAGAGTAATACTCACGAATTTGTAAACCTAGTGAAAGAACTAGCCTTACCTGGAGAACTGACTCAGAGCAGAAGTTATGATTTTGAATTTATGCAAGTTGAAAAGCCATATGAATCTTACATCGGTGCCAATGTCCGCTTGAGGTATGAATTTGTATTAGAAACTGTAGACAAAGTCAAAACCAGAAAGTAATGGCTACTATTGGTGTCTTATTCAAACTTACAAGTCTGGACTGGAAGGCTTAAGATATTTAAAAATTCTGTCATATACTTTGTTTTACCTGACCGATGCTAATCTTGAGATAATAAGAGTTTTCTAACATTATAGATTTAGAGAACACCATTATGAGAAGTTTTGGTCATACACTTTCCTTGTATGAATTTTCCTCAGTACTTCATTTGTCTTGTAAACTGAATTACCCTCCAAATCCATTAGTTTCCTAATGAATCTCATTTAGTATTTAGGGTTAAGAAGTGATTTGGAGCCCCAAAGAAGCTGTCTAACTTGTCCAAAATTACACAGGTAGTGAATGGTAGAACTGGAGTAACAACCTAGTTTTCTAAATTCCCAATCCAGTGTCCTTTCCCTTCACCAAGTCTTCATGCAGGAAACCAAGGATGCCTCAGAGTCCAGGGAGGCTGAAAACATTAGTCCTGCTTTCTTTATTTAACGTGGCATTATCTGTCTGGAAGTGGGTTTGACAACCCAAATTCCGAATAGCAGTGCCTTAAATAGATAGGTATTTTAAAAAAAGAGAGAAGTGGGGCCGGCCCGGTGGCGCACTGCTACAGTGCGCCGCTTGGGAGTGCGGCGGCGCTCCCGCCAAGGGTTCGGATCCCACATACAGACCGGTCGCTCACTGGCTGAGCGAGATGCGGGTGCGGCACCGAGGGTTGCGATCCCGTTGCTGGTCCCGGTCCGGTACGGGTGCGACACTGAGGGTTGCGATCCGTTGCCGGTCACGAAAAAAGACAAAAAGGAAAAAAATAAAAAAAATAAAATAAATAAAAAAAAAAAAGAGAGAAGTGATCTGGAGAGATTTTCTCAAGTAGGTTTCATGATATCCCTCCTAACTCATTTGAGAAGTATTTACCCTATTCTTAAAATTGAACTTTTGTATATTTTTCATGTTGAGGGCATTTTAAAAATAGAACTCCTTCATGAAGTAAATGAAGTAAGTTGATCCCAAAAGAGTTCCAGCAAGGAGAAAGCTGAGTTTGCAGTTAATGTTTGCTTATTTAAAACACTTAAATTTATCATAGGGATTTAACTTGTCTTCTCCATTAACTTTGTAGGTATTTTCTTAAAGTGACAATAGTAAGAAGACTGACAGATTTGGTAAAAGAGTATGATCTTATTGTTCACCAGCTTGCCACCTATCCTGATGTTAACAACTCTATTAAGATGGAAGTGGGCATTGAAGATTGTCTGCATATAGAATTTGAATATAATAAATCTAAGTAAGTACCTTTCAAAAATGTTTAGGGAAAATGAAAAAATGATCTTTTAAGATCTTTGTGAATTGACATTAATCTGATGTTAACAGACCAACAGAATCTCTGAGCTAAAAGAAACTTAAGGAGTTTGGTCTGGCTTCTGACCCAGTGCAGGTATCTTTTATATTCTATTCCTGATAAGTCTCTGCTTGGCCACTTTTTGTACAGGATCTCACCATCCTAGAAGGCATCCAATCCTATTGTGTCTTTTAAAATTTATCTTACTGGCTTGGTATTACTCATCCTGGCCATCTCTTTAAAACATAACAAAAGTACTTTTTTTCTGACTACATAAGCAATACATTTTCATTCTTAAAGATTTGGAGGATGTAGAAAAATGAAAGCAGGTATGGGCCAGCCCGGTGGCGCACTGGATAGTGCGCCGCTTGGGAAGCGCGGCGGCGCTCCCATCCGGGGGTTCGGATCCCACATACAGACCGGCTCCCGCTCGCTGGCTGGGCGAGGCGCAGGGGCAGCACCGAGGCTTGCGATCCCATTGCCGGTCCCCGGTCCGGTACGGGGGCAACACTGAGGGTTGCGATCCGTTGCCGGACACGGAAAAAAGACAAAAGAAAAAAAAAAAAAAGAAAAATGAAAGCAGGTAAAAATTTTCACCTCTATCACATAACCATTATTAATAATCCTCTTGTATATCTTTCCATAGGGGAGGGGAATGGTGTAAAATATATATTTATATATGTTGTCATTTTACAAAATGGGCTCATGTTTTGTTTATTGTTTAATGCCTTTTCAAATTTTATTATGCAAAACTTCAGACATACATCACAGTATATGAACAGTATACTGAACAATATAATGAGTACCATTGCCCAGCTCCAACAGTTATGAATACATGGTCAGGTTTGTTTTATCTGTATTCAGCAACCACACTCCCCATGGATTAGATTGAAGCAAATTCCAGACATATAATTTAATCCATAAAAATTATGTATCATTTTTAATATAACTACAATACTATTATACCTAAAAATATAAATAATTCCTTAATATCTTCATATATCCAGTGTTCGCATTTCTCTAATTGTCTCATAAATGTCTTTCTTTTTTCACATGGTTCATTCAAATCAATACCCAAACAAGGTCCACACAATGCATTTGGTAGACTCTTAAATCTCTTTTAATTAATAGATTTCCCCCTATTTTTTTCATTAAAGTTTATTTGTGAGGAAACGGATGTACTCCTCTTTTATCCCACTCCTACACATTCTTCTCTCCTGTTACATGATTTTTATTAGTTGTTACTCCCAGGTTTATATCACTGAAAATGTGATATATAATAAAAATTTTTAAAAAACAGGGAAAAAAAAGAAAATATGATATACATGCCCTCAGTGTCTTAAATTATATTGTTGATAAAATTATCAGATAGTTTGGGACCTAAAAATTTGTCATTGAAGCCTCCCTTCAGATTGACATAATAGTATTAATTAACTCTTGGGATGTAATTTTGAGATCTGAACCTGGTAGGAGGCTAAAGTCCTCTGGGTTTTGTGGGAATTTCCAGGTTTATTACCACGTCATTTTAAGGTTCCTGGGAATGTTCTTTGATTATTAGATATTACAGCAAACTCAACTTATGGAGGTAGCCCTTATTCTGTCATTGTGGCCATATGATTTATGTTAGCTGCATTATTCTAGCACTTAGAATAATGACACTAAACTCTTTTTTTTTTTTTTTTTTTTTTTTTTTTTCC